GCAGCGCCCCCAGCGGCGAGGCCAGGCCTGGCAGCGTGAGTGGGGGGCAGATCAGGGGACATCCCATAAGACAGCCCATAGGACATCCCATAACAGCCCATAGGACATCCCATAACACAGCCTATAGGACATCCCATAACAGCCTATAGGACATCCCATAACACAGCCTATAGGACATCCCATAACACAGCCTATAGGACATCCCATAACAGCCCATAGGACATCCCATAACACAGCCTATAGGACATCCCATAACAGCCTATAGGACATCCCATAACACAGCCTATAGAACATCCCATAACAGCCCATAGGACATCCCATAACACAGCCTATAGGACATCCCATAACAGCCCCACTGTGCCCCAGTTTCCCCATATCCCCCATACCTGTTCCCCTCAGATCTGGACGCCCCATAGCTCTGCTCCCCCCTGGGCTCCGGGTCCCCCCTGGATCCGTCCCGCCCCCCACCCGCCCTCCCCCGCCCGCAGTGCTCTGTTGGCCCGTCGTCCGACCAGGCGCTGACGTTCATGAAGGACCATTTCCTGATGGAGACCCCGGTGCCCCCCGCCCACGGCCGCCCGCTGCTGCTGAGCCCCAACGTCTCCTACACCCATATCGCTGTGCACCAAACCCGCGGCGTCGGCGGCACCCCGTACCGAGTGCTGTTCATGGCCACCGGTGCGTCTGCGGGGGGGGGGGGGCCCTGTGGGGCGGGGGGCCCCTGTGGGGTGGTGGCGGTGTGGGGCGGTGGGTTCTATGGGGCTATGAGTTCTATGGGGTGGGGGGTCCCTATGGGGCCATGGCTCTGTGGGCCGGTGTGTCCCTATGGGGCGGTGGGTCCCTATGGGGCGATGGCTCTATGGGGCTGTATCCCTATGGGGCAGTGCGTCCCTATGGGGTGGTAGCTCTATGGGGTAGTGGCTCTGTGGGGCAGTGGGTCCCTATGGGGCGGTGGCTCTGTGGGGCTGTGTCCTATGGGGCGGTGGCTCTGTGGGGTGGCGGGTCCCTATGGGGCAGCGGTGCCATGCTGCGCCCCCCAGCCGAGGGCTCGGTGCACAAGGCGGTGGAGCTGGCGGGCGGCCACGCGCTGGTGGTGGAAAGCATCCGTGTGTTTGAGGAGCCGCAGAGCGTCAGCTGCGTCCTGCTGTCAGCCAGCAAGGTGGGGGATGGGATGGGGTGGGAGTGGGAG